GACTAACTGGGGCATATTTTCTCCTCTTGTTGTCCTTAGGTTCCAATTCTCCTTGGAGTTCTCTCTAGCAAAAGCAGACACAAAACAGAAAAGCAAGAGATTGTGTTCTTTACAGAATTGAACAGAAAGATCATGGAACAGAAACACCACTTTTCTTTTGAAATTTATTACTTCCACAGTAAAGCAGGAAAAGGAGAAAATCATTATTTGAACTAAAGCTTATTATTTCATCTGTGCCTACAAATACTTGCAATTTTGCAGAAGTTATCAAATCTTTTTGTATGTGAGAAACCTGCATAGGAAAAAACACTCCCCCTAATTCTTTCTCTGAAAGGACAGGGAGAGAAAAAGGGAGAAAAGTGGTGTCAAATCAAGCTCTCTGCAATGTGTAATTGCAGTATTCCTAAACCTGCTGAATTTTGTCTAACCTACACCAAAACGCTCACAAAGGTAGGTTGTTAAAACTATTGTGGATGGTTGTTTTTTTTTCATTCCTTACAGTTACTTCAACAAATCCAGTTTCTAGGCAGCACATTTACCCTAACCACCCCAAAACTTTTAGAGTCTTCACTTAGGTACGGCTGAGCACCAACTGCTCCAAAGATAATGGTGTGAGAGGACATTTCAGTATCCATTGCAAGCACTACTTGGAGTGATTTATTACTGACACTTCCACACAGCATTTGAACTTCATTGTTTTGGTCCCTTACCACACTTTTCCTTAGTATCTCCAAACATTCTGGCGTTTTCTCAATTCATCTTTTATACTTGTTTCATGACTGTTTTTAGTGTCCATGTTTTTGTGTCTGTATTAAGTCTCTGAAACTCTTCTTTGTGCGGATTTCAGAGGAAAAAATCTGTTTTGGCAAAGAAGGGAAGGAGAGGCAGAGAGCACTGTCAGGGGAATTTACTGCATGTGGAAAGGTGCTGCACTGACAAGTCTCCTGTGTTACCCTCTGACAGACAGTGTCACGTCCAGACTATGTACCAAAGAGTGTCTGTAGCAAAAGGTAGTTGCTGTGCACCCAGCTAGAGGGAGGTGAATTGAAGAAAAAGGCAGAGATTCCCTGAAGACTTGAGGCTGAAGGACTGTCCACAATGGGCCTGCTAGGATTAGGAGACAGCAAGGGGAGAAGAGAAGTCTGCAAAAAAACGAGAGGGGTCTTGAAGAAAGGTAATATTTCTACAGATAGGATACTATTCAGTTGTAGGTTTGCCACAGGCCCTGCAGGACAAACCCCCAGGCAGAGATGTCACAGAGCAAAGCAAAGAAGCCATTAGGTGGCTCTGTGCTCTAGGCTTTCTACCAGATTATAGCCAACATCATGTTTTTAGATCAAATGCAGTTACATGTTTTCAGTTCCTTTAATTTGTTTCCTTCCGCAGCCTACAAGAAAACTTTCCGAACAGGCATTAAAAAATCTGCTTCTTTATATTTTAATGGACAGGGAAAATTTCCAATTGTCTCAGCTTTTTCCCAACCCTGCTGGGACCAAAGTTTGGCAACATTATAATACTAGAGAAAAAGTTAATAATGAGCATTTTGCACATCAGTCTTGTGTCCTCAGTTAACAATAGATTCATTGATACTATTGGCCTAAAGTGCTTCTTAGGAAACCATGTAAGAGGTCAAAAGTAAACATTCATATTTTATTTCTACACGTTTTTCAACCATTGTCTCCAATTATTATCTAGAGCCAGTGTTTCGTTAATAGAAGACAAGGTGGGCAACACAAGAAAGGAAAGTGAAGATAGTTATTCCTGCTTCTCTACAAGAGTTCTCCTTGGTCTCAGGACTACTTGTTTGGTGAAACAGCCTGATGACTGATGTGGGGAACTGACTACAGCAGTTTAAAATGACCCCTCAAAAGCCAACAAACCTTGTATGAGCAGCAGATGGGGTGAAACAGTAGAGATAGAGGGATCCTACTGTACCTCATACATTTCCTCATTCACAGGAAACACCTGTGAAAGGCCTCAAAGGAATTAGGGTATGTTCCTCTAAAAAGGTGACACTGTCAATAGCTCAATTTACTTGCCTCTATACCAATGCACACAGCATGGGTAACAGACAGGAGTTGGAAGTAGCTGTGCAGCCCAGCTAGCAAACTGCCATCTACACTGGATGCAGCAACCTGGTCTTCAGAGGTTGCCACATCCACACAGTACACATCTTAATACCTAAAAGGAAAATATAACTACAAAATTCAGCAATAAGTTACAGGAGTGCTTTTATTGAGACATTGAAACTCCACTAAACAGACTCAGATAGTCACAGTAGCAATTTCTGCTGAGCATGCACTGTATCAAAACCAAGCCACTGCTTTTCATTTCATCCTGAAGACTACTGCTCAGCTTTTGTAAGTGGCAGAACTCCACTGAAATCAATAGGCAAACCTCTAATCCTGTCACTTTCAGGCAGTTCAGGATTGTAAGTACTAAGAACGAGAAAAATATTTATAATAAAATAGCTTATCCTTTCACTATGTACAGAAAGCAAATTCGTATATTTGAGAGCAAACTGAGTAAGAGACTCCTACATAACAATATCTAATGGCTATGTTCATCAGACTCTAAGATTGGAAAGATAATTTTCAGTTTCATTAATAAATTGCAACCAAATGCATCTTTTTTTGTATTAGGATTTGGGAACTGATGTTTCATCAAGGAAAATACAAGTCAAAGATTTGTACTCCTTTTTAGATTTACTTGAGTCATAAGCAGAATGCAAATGAAATTTATTGATACATTTAAAAGGTGTATTTATAACCTCTAAGCTTGATTAGTACAACCTTTTGCAAAGTGTAGAAGTCATTTCCCAGTAACCATATTACCTATCAGAAACTGAACTAGGAGGATAGAAAAGCAGCTTTCCAATGCTATTCCAGTACCAAAATAGGAGTATCTAAATGGTACTAAGTAGTAAAAGGCTACTAAGAGCATTTGTGAGTTCAAGTTAATGACCAGTTTCCACTGAAGGGTTATCTATAACAGTGTCCATTGAACTTTAAGAGGAATTAGCTCATACACTGTAAATTACTGAATTGCCCAAGACCCTGACACAGCAGCCTCTGTCACTGTGTAGGAGGAGTGCATAAAGCAATTAGACCCAAGTGGTGCTGGGGACAAGTCACCTCACTGCTTTACTCTCCTATCTTCTAACATACTCACTGAAGTGGAGGTTTGGGTCAGCAGAGGGAAGAGTGCTCCAGGAAAAGAGTCCTGCTTACTGTGTGGAAAAGATTTTGGATCCAGTTTTTCTAGCTGAACAGACTGTTGTTGTAGCCAATGGAGCATGTAAGCTAAACCTTTGCTGCTGCGCTAATTGTAGGGTCTCACAGCCAGGCAAAATCCTGGCCAAATGTATAACTATTGTGTTGCAATTGGAGTGCTCTCACATGGGTGGGCAGCATGCTCTGCAGCACGACTGCATAATCATTGTGATCTAATTAAACAGAATACATAAGTACCAATTGACTTATCTGGAGAAACATGGGCTGTCAGTAGTAAAAATAGTTTTGTTTGGATTTTTTGTGTGTTTTTGTGTTTGTTTGGTTTTTTTCCCACTGTGTCCTTGTCAATTAAAGAATTTACAATCAAATCTCAAAACTCATGCTGAAGAAAATTCTGAGTAGGTAAAGCCGCAGATTCATGGTGCCTTACTTTATTTGATGGCAAATCCAATACGTGTTCTCCAGCTTCTGTATGCTTAAGGCATTGCACAATTAGGTCTTCAGCTTTGCTGTAGCTTAGAGCTTTGACCTCACCTTAAGTAAATAGTGAATTACAAACGGAAAGGAAATCTCTCAGGGTTTTTTGATTTACTTACTGGAATACTTATAGAAACATGCACCTTGTCAATAGTGTTGGCAGAACTAATGCTAACATGGGCACATAGCAATGTGGCACAGTGTGAGAGCCAAATGTTAGAACTTGAATAGAGAACCATTAAGTTGTTTTTTTTTTTCCCTTCTATTTTATCCACAGTAAAAACTGCTAAAATTAGCTTCAACCTGAAGCTGCAGTCACGACTAGTTCTTAGGACACCAGGGAAGAGCCAGACTGTTAAGAAACAAATGTAAAAGGGACACAGAAGCCTTTTATATGTGACAATAATTTGGAAAAGTCAGTGTTGCAACCAGTCATGACCACCATTGTGAAGAGTAATGAAATGCTAAGTGAGGGCAAGCTTCAGTTCTCCATGTGATGAGACACGACCCAACTAGAAAAAAATAAAAAGCAAACTAATCATGATTGAAAAAGGTAATCAACTACTTTCCAAAGAAAGTAAATACATAGGGAAGAAGAGATGAGTTGTTCCAGTATCTAAAAGGAGCCATTAGCTGAGACTTCAACATGCTGATCATGTATAAGCACTTTAAGTCTGAAAATACCATTTATGCTACATCATTGCACAACTCAAGAATTCCCATTACTATCAAGTGTTGCAATCATCTGTGACAACTGATGAGAGCATAATGATGCATGAAGACAAGCCATTCTTCTCCCTGCAAAGAGACTCAGAGGCTTCGTATACAGGTTTTAATTTAATGGACCTAGGTATGCCTTTTCCACTGTATTATAGTTCCTTTGTGCGACCTGTATCAGGGATGGAACTGTATAGCTGCTGGAGCTGTACCAAGGAGTTTCAGATACCTTCTCTTTGGTCTCTAGACAGACAGTCCATCCCAGTCTCTGGGACTGGTTGTTGGTGTTCTTCTGAAGTGGTGTGTCATTTACTCTGACTGAGACCAAAATGATTAAGGAAGATGAAGAAGAGAAGGCTGCCTTCCTCCTCCATAGTCTGGAGCACTTGTAATCAGGGATGAACAGAATGAATTTCATTCTTACTTCTACAACCTTCAACCACAGCAAACAGGACAAGAAGTTCAAATACCCTTAAGCAGAGGATGCTCATCTGGAAGCATTTAACCATTTCAGGAAGAGTAAACAGCTAAAAAAAGTAACTGGTCATGATTCATTTGGTAACCTGGAAATTGCTAATCATAGAACACTTGGTAGCTAAAGTTGTCAGACTTGATTCTGAAGTTGTATCTTCCCGTCTTTCGCTGGTAGCAGAAAATGAGAAGGCTCACAAATCCCAGCACAAAACCAAACACAGCAAAGACAATAAGGATGGTGTATCCAACTCCTATCCCAGTCTCCATCTCTCTCTTCAGATCAGACACTAAAAAAAAACAAGAGGTGAAAGAAAAAAAAAGCTTTGAAATTCCCAAGTCTTCCTGGGGTAAGAAACCAGCTTTGCCTACAAATTAGCCAGTATGTCTGCTGAAGCACAGAGCTGTAACACAGAAGTGAGTCAGCCTTTTGGGGAGGGTGATTGGCCTGTGAGCCACAGTCTAAGTTCTCTTTTTGCATACAAGTGTAGAGTCCCTGCAGACATGAGTATGATGTGTCTCTGGAATTGGACTCTACAATTTTCTGTTAACATAAGAATTAAAGGATCAGCACTGGTGACTTTCTGAACTGCTGCCTTACTTCCAGAATTACCCTAGAGGTGAAGCTTTCTCCCATTTTAACCCTGACCCCCATTTTTCTATTATTATTAAAAACTGCTGGATTTTCATTTATCTCATATGTAACAGCTAAACACAAAGTATTTAGGAAGGATTCTCCATGTGTGCTGGGTCTCTAAGCTCCTGTTCTCATCAGCAGAGACCTGGCTGGTGCAGTCAGTGGAGGCAGGTGAGTGGGTCACACTGAAGTGGTCACCAGGGGCTAAACTCTGTAGCCTGAGCACAGGCACCTGCTGCCATGTGAAAAGCCCAAGGGTGTCTCCAATGTCTGCACAGGCCTGGCAGACATGGCATGGGACCTGCAGGAGACCTATTATCTTCCAGACTAACACCCAGATGTTGAGGAGAAGGAAAGAATGGGGCACCATGGGTAACAAGCACTAAATGCCTATGAGTGGACAAGAGTCAAGTCCCTTGTTGCCAGCTGTCTCCCTAGGCCTCATTGACCATCAGCAGGACACGTTCACCTGGTTCACATGTAGACATTTCCAAGTATTTTCCAAATCCGCAAGAAGAATGCCCTCTCCCTTAAACATCATGCCTCTATTCATGTTTGTAGTGTACTCTTGTACACTTCTAATGCCTTCTTGTAAGTGCTTGATGCACCTACAAAAACATCTATTTGCATACATTTTCAGGACACCTCTTATTTAGCAAAGTACTTGTGCAATACCTGACGTGCACAGGAGACTAATGCATAGATGCCTGTAATTAGAGACAAAACCTTTGACAAAAAGGTCCTGTTGGCAACCACAGAAGTATGCAGTAGTGATGTCCGAGCTACCTAAAGTCCAGGGCATCATTCCAAGACAGGCCAAAGTAGTGTTGCACAATATATTTATGCTTATTTCTGAAAGAAATAGGAGACAACATCCAGTAGCGCCACCTTTGTCTAGGAATTGATGTAGCACAACCGAAACAAACCTCCTCTCATCAGAGTTCCTTTTGATTAGTGACAATTTTTCAATAGTACAGATTTATCAGGGCCTCCACTGAAAGTGGGAGTGAGATCTACTTGGTACATGCTGCACAAAGAAAGCTGTATTAATTGCTAAGATTTAAAAAAATAGCTAAGTCAGAATTGAACACTGAAGGCCTATTCTAACAGACTGATACTTGCATAAAACACAAGAAAAATACAATATGCTAAGTCAGAGTCTGTTTCAAGTTCTAAACTAACATTGTGACCATCACAATAGAGGAGAAAAAATAGCTTGAATCCATTAACTGTCCACCATTAACTTATCTCCATGGTCAAAAGAGCCTTAAGCGACTGGCAAAACAAGCAACCAGCAGGAGGAAAGGGGGTGACTTCTATGACTGTCTATGCGCAGTAGTGTTAAAACTTTGGTGTTGGTGTACACAAATACTCTCAACGAGTGTTTTACATGAGTAAGATATGAATGCAAATGGCTGGAGGAGACCGATGACTGATGATGTTAGAGGTCACAGTTGCCCTTGAAAACATCAATCAGGGTAAATGCAGGAGTGGCAGATGCATAACAAACTTGGCCTTGCTTGTACACAGGGCTGGTGTTGGCTCTGCTAACCTGTACTGTACCACTCTGCCAGATTAACAAAGGTGCTGTGCACCAGGGAGGCTCTGTCACCTTTCCACATGGTAGTCATGAAGCCAACACAAATTTCTTGCCTCCTCTGATTTTGGACTTCAGCACTCAATACAGTTGCAAGCCAACAACAGTGTAAACACTTGAAAAACTGCAATCTAAAAGATCAAAAATGCTTTCACGCTTTACAATTGTAATAACTAATTTTGTGGCTGTTGAACTTGCTACCCTGTGCAAATAGCTACATAAAGCACTTTATCCTTTCTTTTCTACATCCCCTTGACAAGCTGACAGTCACTTCATTGAGGAGGGCTCATGCTTTCCACACTGCCACATGACTTCAGTAAGAACATCTGCTCCTCAGAAAAATATGCAGAGGGGCAGGAAAACGTTGCGTCACTGTTTTTCAGGTTCCTTCACCAGTGACAAAGATTCTTAAAATGGTGGTTACTCTGTGCCCTTCTCTTGTAAGCCTCTATTGATTACTCACCAGCTGATTTACACAGGGGTCCCCAGGATGTTCTGTGGGCAGCAATGGTTTCACCAGTCTTCAGGGATCGAACTGCATGGCACCTCTGCAACAAAAATTCAAACACCAGCAAGTAATATGGCTTACTAACTAAAACCACAAAGCCTTCTGATGAGTGTGCAAGCCCCACTTATTGGGGCTTTTGCTTCTTAATGTTATATTTTGTTAAACTGAAACTAGCACCAAATGGAAGTTCAAAATAAGTTGCATTAGGGAAGCATAAGTATAAATCCTATAATGAGTCGCACTGCTGTGACCAGACATTTCACACAGAAAATCTCTTCTTCTCATTAGCTTTGTTTGTTTTAGAGAAACCTTATGGGAGAATAAATTTATTATTACTTGTATATGTCAGAGTTTTGCAAACATTTTTGGTTGTATGTTTTCCAATTTCAGTCCCTGCCAAGCTGTGTGTCATTGTGAAGCAACACACAACTCTTCAGTGACAAGTGAACTCCTAACCTGGAAGCTGCCAATTTGAAAGCCCTACTCTGTGAAATGTTGGGGATTAGCTGCTTTAGCTCTGTGTAGAATACTTTAGCATTACAGAATATACAGCACACTCATCTTCCCAGTACTTCCTTGGTAGCACCGTTTAGTTTGTTTTCTACCTTTTGGTTTTAAGTTGCAATCTAAATGTCTCTGTTGGGGAACCTTAGCCTGTTGACGTTACTCAAAAGGTCCTGTGGCTCTCCTGGAAGCACACATAAAAACAGAGAAACTGCAATACCATACTATGATCAGAAAAAGAAATCAGGGAACTGCAAGGGTGTCTTGCCAGCTTGTCTACACAAGAATGTCTCACTGCCATTACCAGCCTGGTTGCACAGAAAAACCTTTAAAATCCACTGTCAGCGACAGTGCCTTTAGTTGGGCCAGCCCCCACAAAAATACCCATGTAGCTGCAACTTTGGCCTACCATGGAATAGCTTTCCCAGCTAGTTGGACACATTCGAGAATATGGTTACATAGCTCCTCCCTGATGTAAAGGATTTTTTGGTTCCATGTGGCCATAGAGCAGCCACATTCCACCAAACATATACGTGATGGTGGCACATCGCTCCTCTTCCCATTCAAAGTAATGATTCTTACTCATTTCCTACTACATTGCTCCACAGCCTGTTTTTTTCTATTCTAAACTTTAGAGCATCTTACTCTCTCACACCAAGAAAACAATGAAAGACCAGATAAGAATAATATAAGAAGTAAGTCCCAATTCTGTGGGCAAAGAGGTGAAGAAAACCTGCCTTAAAGCAAGTTAGCATTCTCCAGAGTGTCAGACAAATTAGAGAGTCAGACCCCAGACCCTGGGTGCTTTCCCAACCCTCTTATATTATTGCCAAATGCACTCTGTTCTTGCTCTAATTTTCCTTGGTCTTTGCACCTCCTTCAGCTTCCTCTCCCTTCTTTGCAAAAGCTGTTGTCATCCTTTTGTAGCTGTGCCTAGAACTTGTCTTCTCCACATAATATTTTCATCTCAGTCTAAGACCATGAGGAGAGCAGGCAGAGCCAGCAGTAACAGAGGGCAGGGCAAGCAGGGCGAGTGGGTGAGTGTGAGAGGAGAGGTCCTTAAAACCAACTAGAAAAGAAAGAGGATTAAGCATGGTTTCCACCCAGGCAAAAGCTTCTGCCAGGAGGACTGGTGCAACCCAAACGGAGGTTCCCCACAGACATATGGGGCTCTGGGTCTCTGGCTGTAGGGAGTGCCACAGCCTGTCGCTCCCCCTGGAGAACAGCAGAGACACCAGCTGTGTCCTGTGTCAGCAGATAAGCTATCTTCTCGGCACGGTTGCACAGCTGGAGGAGGAAGGAGAGAGGCTTAGGAGTATCAGGGAGTGCAAGAGGGAGCTAGACTGTTGGTGCCATGACTTAGCCTCATGATGCAGACCTCTGCCTGTCCCCTGTCTGCCTGGCTGAGCGTGATGGCCTACGGGATGAGGAGCGACGGCAGTGAGTTTCTGCACGGCGAAAGCAGCATGGCAAGGGGGTCACCAGAGTTCCCCCTCTCCAGGTGACTTTGCAAGATAGATACAATGCTCTTCAAGTAGAACCAAACGGCAATGTGGATGATGGTTCACCAAACTTGGAGGTGTCACTGAGGCCAAGTCAGTCTGTACTTTGCATGGAAACCACCTCAGTTAAAAAAAAAAAGGCTGAGGTGTACTTGTCATAGATGACTCATTTCTAAAGGGAGTCAAAGGCCCTCTATGCAGGCCAGACCCACTTCTCAGGGAGGTCAGCTGCTTCCCTGGGGCCAGGGTTAAGGATATATGGAGGAAGCTCCCTACCCTAGTTTGGCCCTCAGACTATTACTCGTTACTGCTATTCCAAGTAGGCAGTGATGAGGTAGCTTCCAGAAGTCTAGGGGCAATGAAGAGAGATTTCTGGCCTCTGGAGATGGCCACTTAGGGGATCAGGAGCACATGTGGTGTTCTCCTCTATCCCACCAGTAGCAAGGATTGATGAGGGGATAAATAGGAAGAGCCAGAAGATTAACTCCTGGCTTCAGGACTGGTGCAGCAGTAAAGACTTTGGCTTTCTCGATCATGGATGGACCTACAGGGCACCAGGCATGGTGACAGGTGGGGGAAGCCTAACCCGGAGGGGGAGAAGGATCCTGGGGCGTGAGTTAGCAGGGCTCATCGAAAGGGCTTTAAACTAGGTTTGAAGGGGGATGGGGACAAAACCAGGCTCACCAGAGATGAGCATAAGGATGGCTGCCAGTCTGCTGTCCCAATCAAGGCAAGAAATGGGGATAAATGCGGCAACAAGAACATAGGCCTCACTAACAGGTTGGTAACCACGCAAGTGGTCGGGATATCTGTACTGTGGCTCAAGTGTGTATTTGCCAATGCCCAAAACATGGGAAATAAACAAGAGGAGTCAGAAGCTATTGTGCACCAGGGAGACCATGATATAATTGCCATCACAGGAATGTGGTGGGATGAGTCGCATGGTTGGAGCGCTGCAAAGGATGGCTACAGGCTCTTTAGAAGGGACAGGAAAGGCAAGAGAGGTGGTGGGGTGGCATTATATTTTAAGAAGTGCTTTGACTGCCTAGAATTCAATATTAGACACACCAAGGCAGAATGTATATGGATAAGGATAAAAGGGAATGCCAATGAGGCTGATATCCTAGTGGAAGTCTGCTACAGACCACCCGACCAGGATAAAGAGACTGACGAGATGTTCTTTCAACAACTTAGGTATGTCTCGCATTTGCTAGCCCTTGTTCTTGTGGGGGACTTCAACTTGCCAAATGTCTGCTGGAAGTACAACACAGCAGAACGGGGACAATCCAGGATGTTTCTGGAATGTGTAGAAGATAACTTCCTGCTCAGGATCAGGCCCAGCCAACATGGGTTTAGGAAAGGAAGGTCCTGCCTGACCAATCTCATCTCCTTCTATGACTGGGTGACCTGCCTGGTGGATGAGGGGAAGGCTGTGGATGTGCTCTACCTCGACTTCAGCAAGGCCTCTGACACAGTCTCCCACAGCATCGTCCTGGAGAAGCCAGCAATCCACAGCTTGGACAGGTGGGTCAAAAACTGGTTGGATGACTGGGTCCAGAGAGTGATGGTGAATGGAGCTGTATCCAGCTGACATCCAGTGACCAGCAGTGTCCCCCAGGGATCAGTGCTGGGCCCAGTCCTATCTTTATTGATGACCTGGACATGGGGATTGAGTCCACCCTCAGTAAGTTCGCAGATGACACCAAGCTGGGGGGGAGTGTTGATCTGCTGAAGGGTAGGAAGAAGCTGCAGGAGGACCTGGACAGTCTGGGTTGATGGGCAAAGGCCAATGGCATGAAATTCAACAAGACCAAGTGCAGGGTCCTGCACTTTGGCCACAACAACCCCAGGCAGCGCTACAGGCTGGGGGAAGAGTGGCTGGAGAGCAGCCCAGCAGAGAGGGACCTAGGAGCACTGGTTGACAACAGGTTGAACATGAACCAGCAGTGTGCTCAGGTGGCCCAGAAGGCCAATGGCATCCTGGCTTGTATCAGGAATAGTGTGGCCAGTAGGAGCAGGGATGTGATTCTCCCCCTGTACTCAGCACTGGTGAGGCCTCACCTCGAGTGCTGTGAGCAGTTCTGGGCCCCTCACTGCAAGAAGGATATTGGGGTGCTGGAGCAGGTCCAGAGGAGAGAAACAAGGCTGGTGAAAGGACTAGAGGGAAATTCTTACAGGGAATGGCTGAGGGAACTGTGGTTGTTTAGCCTGGAGAAGAGGAGACTCAGGGGGGACCTTATCACTCTCTTCAATTACCCAAAGGGAGGGTGTAGCCAGGAGGAGGCTGGGCTCTTTTTTCAGGCAACCAGCAACAAGACAAGAGGGCATGGCCTCAAGCTGCTCCAGGGGAGATTTAGCTTGGATATTAGGAAGCACTTCCTCACAGAGAGGGTGATTAGACATTGGAATGGCCTTCCCAGGGAAGTGGTGGAGGCACTATCCCTGAATGTGTTCAAGGAAAGGCTGGATGTGGCACTTAATGCCATGGTCTGGCTGATGTGGTGATAGGTCATAGGCTGGACTTGATGATCTTAAAGGTCTTTTCCAGCCTTGGTGACTCAGTGATTCTGTGGTACTGGATTCACTTTTCATAACGGTAAATTTTGCATAGGAGAAAGAACAATGTGTCTCATATGTGTCTATAAATAATACAGAAATGAATAACATAGAATACATGGAAGAGAGCCTCTCTGATAAACTGTGCTGTGCCTTATTTATTGCAGGTGTCAATCTCAATCCAACCTCATCTTGGGTTAGCAGAACTACTCCATCACAGACCTCTGTAATTCAGATTAAGCCAGTCCTTTAGTTAAATCTGTTCCTAAACTCTAATCTATTCAGTTAAAGCCTTCTCTAACAGCAAACCCAGCTCCTCCCAGAAAAGCAACTCCTTGATTCCTTTCAGCAGCCATAGCAGCCCACACAGTCCCTTTCCTGCCTATCCCTTTTATTCCCTTGCCTTGCATCCCACCCTCAAGTCCCTCCTCAGCTGTGCAGGACACAAGGAGCACTTGGGGAGGACACCACCTCCTCCAAAGGAGAGCATGGGCTGGGGTTGCTGGAGCACTGATTTTTAACATGCCAAGTCAGCTGTGAACCTGGGAGCCATCTTTCCATCTGTCAGTCATGTTTCCTGTCCCTACTAACCGTTTGGTTTTTTTCTTTTTAATCTGGAGGAAGCTTTATACTTTGAGAAAGGAAACTAGTATCTTCTGCTGGCCATTTTTAATTGTTTAGGAAGAGCTCATTTGCTTTATAATGGGCTTAAACTGAGTTATTTGAAGCTAAAGGAAAGTGTTAAACAATGGAGGAACACCAAGCTGCTAATGAAAACATCCTTGACAGAAAAAAAAGCCAGGAAGTTTGGCAGAGGGAGAGGACAATTCCTGTGTGTCTGCTGTAAGGGGGCAAAAAAAAAACAAAGACAAAACAAAAAAACAAAAAAAACAACCCACAAACATAAAACACAACCCACACCAAAAAAACCAAACAAACAAAATAAAACAAAACAAAACAAAACAACAATGGAAAGAACTAAAAAGAAACAAATCAATGCTTTGGAGCACAGAAAATTAGTAACTGAAGTAGTTATTAGAACATTGCTTGGTTTATTGCTTCAAAAAGAAATAGGGCTTCAAAAAGCCATCATGAACCCTATTAAATGTACAGCCCTAGAAACTTAAGTTTCTTCTGCCATTGAGGTTCCTTTCCTGGCACCTCAGTCCTCACCTGGAGAAGTATACCTCTAGGGCAATGAAAAAGGAAGGAAAAACATCCCAAATGTTTACCCAGGCTTTGCTGCTGACACTGCCAATAGGGGTGTTTGCTTTTCTGTGACATGTCCATCTGAGCTGACACATTTCTGAACAACCTATATCATTGTAGCTTCTGTTTATTGCCTTCTAGCCAACCCTAAGCAGACATTAAAGGTTCAGTTCTCAAGTTCCCCAACACTGATACCCATTTCTGTGCAAGCTCCATGCTTTTAGCTACAAGGATAAAGAACAGGAAAGGTGGACACTTCCACGTGGTTTTGGTCCTTTCCCACTCCTCCCTGCTCTCGGCAGAGAATAAAGGAAACCTTCAAGAGCTATTTTAAACCCTGTTTGGAAACATTACTCTTTGAATTCCACAACAGGACTGTAAATGGCATGTCAGAGAAAAACAGCGCATTGGAGCGAAACCCTTACCGTCCTGCAGGTGCTTCCTGGTGTCTCCATGCAAATACGAATTCTGCAGTGTAAGTAAACCACAGAATTGTTGACAAAGGAAAAGATTTTCATCTTAAACTGTGCTTTGCTTGAATTCCCATTCTCCAGCAGTGTGGTGTGTGTATTTGGGATGGGACAGCTGAAAAGGAAGAGAAAAGCTCCTTTAGAAAGATGCAGCCACACTTGCCATGAAGCAGCCCTCCAGCAGCACAGAGGTTGTAAGGGGATATTTGCTGTTTTATTCTCACAGTATCCAGATGAAATAGGAGACTCAAGAAGTGGCTGGAGAGTTGGAAAAGAAGGGAAACAGTGACAGAAAGGATTTAAACTCGGCTTCACCACACACACAGTGAAAGAACATATTATTAAAAGGAATAGCTTCTGCTACTGAGCAAAAGGACTATCCTGTATTTTAAGGTCTGTCAATTGCGAAACACAGGAATTAACTAACCTATACCTTCATTGATGAGAGTCACATAAGTTCCAGGTAATATCTGAACCACAGAGAAATAGAAAAAGCACACACTTCTCAATGGTCTTTCACTACTGACCAAAATCTATTTCCTCAGGTTAAAACTACAATTCCTTTACAAAACTGTGGAGAAGACAACCAAACTCAAGCCACTACCACATTACCCTTTGAAAATGTTTTATATTTGTACTTACCTTCCTTGTTCAAATAAGGTGTGACCAGTCAGAATGGTAAATGACTGTGCACATGAATTATGAGAAAACACATAAAAAGCATTTAAAATGTAGCACACTGGTAGTCAGCACCACTGAAAGATCCAAGATATGGCACATGCTGTTTGCAAGTGTCATTGCTGTACCTGTTGCTGATAAAAGCAAATGAGAGGGGATCCACTGAGTTATTAGTTGGAGTCGCCCAGCAGTCAGTGAGGACCACCTTGAGCTTGCTGTCTGCTCGTTGGATCCCCACTTCAATCAGTATATCCTCACTGGCAGAGACACTGAAATTTTTTGGTATTGGGGTGTTTCCAATAAATAACTGCATTTCTGTTCTGAAGTGCCCAGATCCATGCAAATCCTCAAAGATGGTGTAAAGTCTGAAACAACAATTAACCTCCTTTAAAGACCATAAATTTGACTGTGCATTTCTATAAATCAGTGCCTGTTTCTCCATCTCCTGTGCATTTTAGTAGTGAAGAGTTACCTACAGTCCAAATGTTAGGATACTGTAGAAGAGCAGTGTAAAAACGCATCACGTTTTTAGTTGGGAAGGTGGGGAGCATGGAAACACAAGCGGGAAAATCCAGAGTGGAATGTCTTGGTAAACCAAATAAAGCAGAGAAGATATTTGAGTGGATCTGAAGGGGAACAAGACTACAAACTGTCTGAAAGTTGAAAATAAGGAGAGTAAAAGATTAGCGAAGAAAAGCCGAAAAAAAAAAAAAAATGTATATGGCATAATTCAAACAACTAGACGTATGATGAAAGTGAGTTTGTAAGTCCAAGAATAAGGTGTTTCCAATAAATAACTGCATTTCTGTTCTGAAGTGCCCAGATCCATGCAAATCCTCAAAGATGGTGTAAAGTCTGAAACAACAATTAACCTCCTTTAAAGACCATAAATTTGACTGTGCATTTCTATAAATCAGTGCCTGTTTCTCCATCTCCTGTGCATTTTAGTAGTGAAGAGTTACCTACAGTCCAAATGTTAGGATACTGTAGAAGAGCAGTGTAAAAACGCATCACGTTTTTAGTTGGGAAGGTGGGGAGCATGGAAACACAAGCGGGAAAATCCAGAGTGGAATGTCTTGGTAAACCAAATAAAGCAGAGAAGATATTTGAGTGGATCTGAAGGGGAACAAGACTACAAACTGTCTGAAAGTTGAAAATAAGGAGAGTAAAAGATTAGCGAAGAAAAGCCGAAAAAAAAAAAAATAAGGAGAAGGGAGAAATCTGAACAATGAGTGAGATGAGAAAATTATAGAGCTCAGAGAAGGTGCTGACAAAGACTTTGCAGGAAGATAGAAATAAAAATACAGTGTCTGGAGGGTCAAGAAACAGAAAGTGGATTTGGTGATGATAGCTTAAGTATGGTGCAAGGCCAGAGAGAGGAGGTGCAGAACACACACCATCAAAGCAAAACTTGTGCTGCCACCTTCACTGTGAACATGTATTTGCTTTTCTGTGAACAGTGGATTTGATTCCATCTTATTTGAAGATGGAGCCTTCCATAAGAAAGGTATTTGCATTGTGTATCTTTTTTCAAGTTGATCAAAGAGAGATTTGTGGGGATTAAAAACTGCCATCTTCAGCACCCACATAACAGTCTGCATGCCTACACACTATTGTTATGGTCCAAAGGCAGGAAAATATTGATATTACTACATGTGATTGCCTAGGAAGGCAAAATAAAGTCAGAAATTCTGGCTCCCAAACTTGCATCAGTAGCTTCCAAAAGTTTATTTTCATCTATGGTTTAGCCAGGCGATGGCCAAGCTTGTTGACCATTGGATCCATTCACACATTAGATGGAGTTGGAGAGATGCACATAGCAAGGATCACCTGAGCACAGGACTTGCAGGATGCCAGACTACTTATCACAGAAAGTCCTGTGACTGGATACAGCTTAGGTCCCTGGGGATTCTTCCGAATGCATCAGTGCTCAGCCACACAACAGCACTTCAAAGAAGAGAGAGTTGTTACTTACCCCTCTGCAGTGTATCCAGAGGAAGTCAAGAGATTGTTTTGAAACACACAGTGAATGGGACTGGCAACTTTTAAGTGGTGGATAACTCCCTGAGCAGAAACATCATTCCGAAGGATGTTTTTCACTACAGTATTAGTCATGTTCTGCAACACAGAAAGAAGAAAGCACAACTTGTGAACAGCGTTTCCAAGGACATAGCAGAGCTACAGGGTTACCAGATTTGAGTGCTTAGGTATTCTGCATTCTCCTGGCTGCAAAAATCAAATAGATTAAACCTCTAGTATCTTAGTTCCTGTACAGGGAGACAATGAAAATCCACCAGCCTTCCTCCTCATCCTCAGTCTGCAATGATCATTGCTCCACAAGGGAGTTTCTACACTTTATCGTAGCCAGAGTTCAGCCTTTGTTTTGGGATTAAAAGAAAGAGTCAGCACTCATTGTCCCCACTACTGGTACCACTTGGAGTATTTGTCTAAATACAATTATGAGATTCCTTTTAAGAAGAGAAGACCCTGGCAGCTGTAAAGGGAACCCAGAGAGGCATGGAAAGTGACTCTCAGTTTGGAAAGCCCCCTGAGTTTTTCTGCCTGACCTCAGGGATTCCCCTTCTCTTTCTTGCATGCCCCTTGTGCCAAACAGGTAACTTTCCATCACAGGAAAGAAGTTTCTTTCTACAAAAATATTAGTCCAACTTTTCAGCAACTAGTAGATTGTGCTCTTAGCTAAGGTTCTGCCATTGTTCTTCCCTTTACACCACATTGCTTGCCCCCTCCCTCCCACTCCAAAAGAAAAATATGCTCTGGGACTTCTTCACATTCACTGCCTCAGGGGACTTACAGTCTCAACTTCAGTGCCACAGTCACTCCAGCCTGCCTGCAGCACAACGTGGGTGCCATTGCTGATGCTCACGTTGCAGCGAGGCTCCCCCAGGTACAGGGAGGTTTCAGGGATAGACTCCTGCTCTAAAAATCTCTTCTGGACAGCAAGGACAATCTTCTCAATTTCACAAAACACTCTTACTGCATCTTTAATGGAAATCTCCTGGGCAGGTTGAACAAGGGGGACAGGAGATGCTTGAGGAGAAACCTTGGGACTTGACACAGGATCCCTGGTGAGAGAAGGCAGCACCACACTGGAGGACATGGTGTCCTCCAGGGCTTTGTGCTTAGTAGTAGAGAAGTTCAATGAAGCGGTGGAAGAAATGTGAGTCGAAGTTTGCAAAGCTGTCACAGGTAACACTGTGTTGTGTACAGGTTTCTTGTCCATCACTGTTGTCTTCTTGCTGAGAGGAAATGCTGAAGCCAAAAATAAAGGTACTGTTGTAATTTACAGGTTCAGGTCAATTGCATAAGGCAAAAGCAAGATCTTAGGAGGAAACTCACAGTTACTGGCAGGAAACTATCTTTTGTTTTTTTAACCCACTCTACTTACTGTCAAAAATGTGGCTTTTTTAAAAGAAAAAGCTCAAGAGATACATAAAGTGCCTGTGAGTAAAGCTGAAGTGCTTTCTTTCCTGAATGCTGCACAGACTTGTGTCCTCAAGTACAACACCTATATACAGCTTTTGGAGGATCAGTTCTTGCAAGTGATCCCCAGTTGTAAGTCGTTCAGCAAATGTTCCTATGTTTTGCCAAGCACTGTGGGAGATTGCACACTGTGGGTATAAAGTAGAGCAGTTTGTTAAAAAATCTGGCTGCATTTGTGACCTGTTGGTACCCAAAATATATGACCCTGAGTGCTTCAAAACACTCATTTTGAGGGAAGTGCAGGACAAATCACATGTAGCAGGCCCACACTGCGCATGTGTGCCCTGAGAAGGACAGTTGAACAAATGTGTTAGGAGCAATATTTAATGGTTTCAGGAAGAAAACAAGCAGTAGAAAAAGGGAAGCACAGGTTGAGATCAATGTGTATGTCAAATACTTGACATTCAGCACAGGTTCTTGGGGTTGCCCCACGACTCCTTGCTGGTCAAAACCACCTGAATTTTCATCCTCCACTGACTTAGAGAGCACTGAGATACTGAATTCCATTTGCAGTGAAACACAAAGGATATGTCTCATTGCACAGAAATTCTCTTAAATAGTTTCAATAGGTTGTACATACAAAATAGCATCTACTTCCCAAGCCACATATAAAATCTGTACATATATATATCTGTGTGTATGTGTTCTTCTGGAACTGCCCAGCTTTCAGATATGTCCCAAATTAAAATGTTGCTGATTTGAATGTGAAAGGAGGAAAAAGAAAAGTCTAAGCTCTCTCAGAGATTAATTTTTCAAAAGCTCATCGCTGTAATGCCAAATATCTTGGTTAAACAAAACAGAGCAAAGGTTGGTATCAGTTGACAAATCCTTGTGACTTCAGTCACAGAGCAGCTTATCACTGTGGTTACAAAAACAAATAGAAACTACTGAAGAAGCCTAAAATATTTTAGGAGCTTAAAGACCCATCATACATCAGCTAACAAATTATTTAAGGAAAGGGAGGAGCAAGATTCATTGACTCATACAAAAAAAAACCAGTTTGTAATATGAACATTTCATCCCTGCTGCCACACAGAGGTCAAACTGTGTACCTAGTGCTTTCTGTTCCCTTCTCTATTATCTCTGCTGTCCCCTCTGCTGCTGCTAATTAAAATCAGTAACAATCTTGACAATCCTGTCTAATTTTAATGGCAAATATGAGAAAACAGACACATAAAAGAACCTCACAAAGACAGCATTAAATTTTAAAATAGTAAATAATATAGTAAACTCTCATGAGAGAGTATTGCCATCAGAAACGCTTAAAGACATCTGCAAGATATTTCCAATTAGGATCCAGCTGAAAACAATGAACCAAATTTATCCCTGTCAAAATTTCGAGACCCGTGGCAAGTGTGACCACAATCCAGTAAAGACCATATCACTAGGAGTTCAGTTAGCCATTAGATGATTTTTAAAAATTGCCTTCACAGCTTCTTCCAGGCCTTTCTGGATGCACATCAGCAAATCCTTCATTGCAGCTGCACTCGTAAAACCCAAGTGTGTTAAAGCACGATGCATCCGGGGAGCAGTCGTCATCTTCACTTTCACACTCATCATAATCTGTTGGGTATATTTAAGCAAAAGACAAAGGTGGAGAGTGTATAAATGAAAAAGTGATGGTTCTGAAATGGAAGCACGTGGCATTACACCTCTTCAGTGTCATACTCTACCGGATATGTCAGGCAGCTGCTGCATCTAGGAGAGGTTGGTACCAGAAGCCCAGCCTAGAGGGCCAATTGCCAGGCACTGAAATCCCTCCAGGAGCTGTGCTACCAATGATTCTCAGGCAGATACTCACTGAAATGGAGGCAACCTGCTGCAGAGCTCCTATCCTCCTGAACTGTGCCCAAGGGGACACTTCTAACCCTGCTGGCTTCCTCAGCTGCTACCCCCATTTCACACTCCTGAGGAGACGGTCAGCCAGTGCTCGGCATGAGTGAAGCAGGAGGGTTGTGGCTGGTCCAAGTTGCAGTCTAGTTGTTTTCTTAATTTTTACCTGGACAAAATATCTACTTTTGAAAATAAAAATATGCTTTACTTCCCTTTCTCTTCCCAAGGTCTGATTGTAACTGGACAAATAAGGACGTACCACCTTAGATAGGACTCAGAAAGCAGCACCAACCACCTGCTCTATGGTCACCTGGCCCTAAAACAAATAATTTGTTTTAGCACAGGTTCAAGGGGGGTGGGCACTCTACAAAGCACTAACATGAGGTAGTCATGATCTTACTATTTAACATGTTATATATGACTTTCCAGATTCACAGCTGTAACAGGCAGAGCATGTACAGGGCAGACAGGTTTCTGACGTAATTCTATGGTGAGATTTTAACAATACTCTCTGGACAAATGTGTCCTGCTTAGGATACAGAATTTGGGATTTTTTTCAGAAATGACACAAAGATTTGCAAAACAGAATACAACAACAGTTAGTCAAGAGACTGATGTTTCTTGTTACTGACATAAATTACATATAAAGGAAAAGAAATATAATCAGCCATTGTGCTGGCCTTGGCAAAGTGTGGACTATAATCTGAACTCCTGACCCACAGGGGTGTGAGAAAAATACATATTCCCAATGCAGAAGAATTTACATGTTCCTTTATTTGATTCTTGAGGTTTCTGTCTCATGCAAAATTATCAGTGCAAAGCTGGGGGTTGTGTGTTTCAAAATTCTTTTAACCAGAGCTAGTTATGGCTGTGTACAGGGACCTTCTTTTCTATATAATTCATTCTAGCTACAGTGAAACAAAACAGAACAGAACAAAACAAACAAAGAAAAACCAAACCAACAAAACCAAACAAACAAACACGCAAACAAAACACAGTCAGTTTTGTCCTTCTGGATCATTATTACCCTTCTTATTTAATCTTTTGATGTTCTCTGAAAAAGCTTATTGGATAGATAAGCAGGAGCAATATATGGAGTGAGAATGGCTTTTCATCCATTTTACAGATCCTTTCACCTCAAAATATACAGAAAAATAATAGGCTTTATAATCTTTCTAGATCCAAGGAAGCATTAGGATATGAGCTGCTCCTTACCATGTATGGAGAGACTGCTCTTGTCAACTGTGAAATAGGAGCTCTGTTCAAAGGCATCATGAAAAGCGGTGATGACGCTGTAGATATCCACATCTTCTGCAATCAGTAAGTTGAAACTTACCACTGTGCTCCCATTAGTTATACCCGTTATCAACACTTTAATCAAACCAGCATCCATCTGCTGAAGAACCTCAAGGGGCAGAGATTTATGTACCTGGAATAAAAAAAGAAAAATGCGTATGGAGATGAACAGATAGAAGCAATTACAATTTAGGCTTTGTGCACTGCCTAGAAGAGAGCATTATGCATTATAATTGTGCTTCATACTCTGGAGGGAAGCAGCAGAAAATTGACTTTTTCCTTTGTAATGTTTCCACTCTACAGCAGCTGAAAGATAAGGTATGTATTTAACTGTGAATATTAAACTAGCAAAGAGATTAAGATACCTCATCTGTCATTTGGCACAGGTCCCTGATTCTGGTAAGAGCGAGGGAGGGAGGAGACTGCAGAGAAGCTGCTGTGTTCTGCCTCTCAAAATGCCTCCAGGAAGAGGGAGCAACCCAAGACAAGGAGGAGCTGCCGATGAAAATGAAGGTGCCTCCTGACACCATGCTGCATATACATCTCAGAGATCTCCCTCAGCTCAGGTACATTAGAGGTTATAGCAGAACACCCTCAAGCCTTTCTTCACAGTGATTTCTCACCAGAGCCAAGCAAATAACACCTCTTTTTAAATGCCCAGACCAGGGTAAAAAAACCCCAAAAAAACAGAAAGGTGTTTCATTTAATCATCCCTGCCACACAGTTCAACTTCCCATCAAGCTAGTCCTCAACCTGATTTCAGAAATAGTCCATTAAAGTCTTCCCTGAGGAGTATCATATTATTTCTGCAAATTCTGGCTGTCGTCAGGGCACACAGCCTTGACTCACAGCCCTCCTCAAGAGTCCCAGAGCCAGGAAATTACTCTGAGCTATTTTGAACAAGGAAACTCAAGGTATTGCAGCACAAAATCACAGCTGAGCTTACATCAGTCTAGAGAAATCAATAAAATAAACATCACAGTCAGTACACGGTAACATTAGATTTCTCCAGTGGCCTAAGAAAGAAAATGCCACCTTTTTCAAAGCATACTGAGCCTTAGTCATTATAGCCTCAGAAGCCACCTCCTTTACCACACTGGAGAGCAGGATGGTCTGCTTTCTGTGGGATGGGAAAACACAGCCCTCAGCTGGGCTGCTCAGGTTGTCCACTGTCCAGCTCAGATGGAGGCACCAACACCTCTTGAAGAGATTAACAGACTGGAGCTGTGTTCGACCTCTTCCACCCTCCAAGGCCGGATGGCACCTCCAGAGGGCAGCTGCCCATGGGAACATCTCTTCCTACTCCCACAGGAGGGCAGTCCATGGGGCAGGGCAGCCAGGCACACCCAGGAGCCTGGTGGTGATGTACAACAGCTTTTGCATTTCCAGCACCATGCCCCTTCATCTCCAGGCCAAGCACCAGCCACAGGAGGAGCAGCCACAGGTCAGATGGCATTATCTCACAGGACCAACTCCGAACAAGACACAAGGCTAATATTAACTCAGCTTTAAAGAGCACATTGACAAAACTTTATACACGTAAATACAGACCTATTCCTGAGAATCTCACCACAAAGAGAAAATGGCAAACATCCACAAGTGCTCCCCGAGGTCCCTTTTCCTCTAGTCACCCAGACAAGAAGCCCGATAAGATTGCATTGGGCTCCCTGCCTATTTGCATGTCCCAGGGGAAAGCAGGGCAAACACATGGAGGTCTGCATGCATCTAACCACATGGGCAGAGCACATACCTGAAGACCAGATGTCACGGTAAGCACAGGCTGAATGATGCCATCCAGCAATGCAATAAACTTTCCCTTTAGAATGTAATCTTTTCTGCTCTACCTTTCTCAAGAAGATGCTCACAGATCCTGTGTATTTCTTAGTATCTTTCATATGTGTCTGGGAAGTCTTTTTACATTCTTTCACACTTGCAAATAAAAAGTGCAGCAACACAGGTTGTGGGACATAACTTCCAAACCTGCATCAGGGAAGGCAGTACAGTTCTAAGCTATTGGTATTAAAGCTGCACTTAGAAAGTGCCAGGAAAAGTGCAACAGACAACTGCCCATGGTAGGAGAGCAGATCCCAGCAGTGTGTGAAGGACAAATCCCATACCATTCCTGTGAACCCTTCTGAGCCTGGAATACACATAGTTTCCTTGTACATAGCAACCACTAGCTTCAGTGCAAACACAGGATGGAAACAGTCACAGAAACATCTGAATGTTTGTGATTTCTCAGGATACTTGCTCTTTGCCTTAGCTCTCCTGTGGCTGTCAGGCTCCCAGGAGATGCCAGCAGAGAGACAGGCACAGAGCAGCAGAGGTAGCTGCACCGTAAGTGCCAGGTGAGCTGCACTTGGCTCGGGTGAGAGCCGGCACATCACTGCCCTGTGCAGGAGAGTCACACACCTCTTTCCCAGCATCTCACTCTGTTCTAGGGCTTCTCTTTACGGTTCACAGCTCACTTCCTTCCCTAGCTCAAACTTCTGGATAATTAAGGGGGCAGATGGAGGCTACACTGCAGTCAGTTCCAGCCCCTTCTTCCTCTACACATCTTCTGCAGGAAATATCTGGAGCAGCAGGGCTGGATTTCAGCCATGAGTTTAAGGCAGAGCTTATGACAGAAGTGTAATGCTCAGGAAAAGCCCAGGGAAGAGGCAAGGCAAGGCTCAGCAGTGGGAGCTGACAGGAGAAGCAGCTTCATTTCACTTGCACCCATGCATTGGGCCCCTCAGTTCAAGAAGGACAGGGAAGTGCTTGAAAGAGTCCAGCGCAGAGCTACAAAGATGATTAAGGGAGTGGAACATCTCCCTTATGAGGAAAGGCTGAGGGAGCTGGGTCTCTTTAGCTTGGAGAAAAGGAGACTGAGGGGTGACCTCATCAATGTTTACAAATATATAAGGGGTGAGTGTCAGGGAGATGGAGTTAGGCTTTTCTCAGTGATGAACAGTGATAGGACAAGGGGTAATGAGTGTAAATTGGAGCATAGGAAGTTCAAGGTGAATATCCGAAAAAAATTTTTACTGTAAGAGTGACAGAGCACTGGAACAGGCTGCCCAGGGAGGTTGTGGAGTCTCCTTCACTGGAGACATTCAAAACCAACCTGGATGCATTCCTATGTGATGTACTCTAGGTGACCCTGCTCTGGCAGGGGGGTTGGACTAGATGATCTCTCAAGGTCCCTTCCAGCCCCTAAGATTCTATGATTCTATGATTCTATAGAGCTTGTGCATTTTGTGCTGGATTCTCCCAGGTGACCACAGCTCTTGCACATCTACGTGCCAAGCCTGACTCCCCTGCTTCCTGTGTGCTATCCAGCCTCGAGTTACTTGCCTGCTGTGTATTACCCAGCCCTGCAGACAGGCCCAGATTTTGCAGACATGCTGCAGCCCATTTCTGTGTTGTCAGAGCTGATGTGTGTTGCACGTGCTTGGTGAAAAGGTAACACGCATGGAACAAACCCCCTGCGAGCACCTGGAAGGGATGCCCACACACCTGAAGTCCCAAACAGCAAACCTTGCATGCCCCATGGGACATACAGGCAGAGTTGTGAGGATAGACAGAGCTAAATTCATTGTGAAAGCCTGGACAGACCATAGGCTGTCCTTGTTAGCCCCAAAATCTCCCGTTTCACCAAGCCAGGGTGCTCTTGGGCCTCTTCTCCTCTCCCTTTCTGCTTTTCCACAAGCATCAGCCCTAGAGGGGCTGAGGTCAGCCCTAAGTTTTCATCGTTCATCGTTTTTGTCAGGACACTAAATACACATACCTGTGAGGTCCTCTTAGCCCGTCCCCAATTTCACATGTACTCCCTTTTCATCTATCCTGAATATTTAATTTTAGTAGTGCTTCTTTTTACTTAGGGCTCTGGAAAATGTTGTCTTTGTTTGTTTGTTTGTGTTGTCCTTATTCATATTTTTCCTCACAATGCAGGACTAGGAGCTTGAAAAGTGTCAGGGGACATTCACAGTATTTGTATTTAGCCACTAGGTGACACTACAAAACCCTTTATCTAGTAGGCTACCGGATTTCACGACGGGTACCACATCCTACGTTATCAAAGTCATGGTAGATTAAGTGCAGCTAGAAAAAAAAGGAAGAGTGAACTTTTTAGAAGGAAATGTTCAATATTAGATTTTCTCACTAGACAAATAAATTATCTTGGGATCCATGATTTTATCTACAATTTCTGTAGCACACAAAGGAAACCTAAGCAGTGCCAGACCAGCGTGCCAGAAGAGCCACAAGAATGGAAGAGAACATGATCAAAATTAACACCAGCATTGAGGAAAGGGAATGTCCCTGGCTCAGTAAAGAAAAACAGGAGGCAGACAAGGTCTAAGTTCAGGGCCAGATGGAAGTCCCACTAAATCAAATTTAACAGGTTGGGAAAGACCAATAGCTTTTTTGAGCAACAGGAGGGTGGCCAACCCAGGTTGTGAGGCTCACCCCATGGGTGGCTGAAGCATGTTTGCAGGTTTTCTGGGACCACCCATCCATAGGTCCCAGGCAAAATGTCAGCAGCTTGTTGGAACTATTGTGGTTGCCTGCACAGGATCTTGCATGGCTGGCAGAGCAGGGAATGCACTGGCAGTCTGGAAACTGGAAATTGGTAAGTAAAGGGTACACTAATTTGAACAGAACCCTGCATGAAGGCTACTTTTTCAAAAACAGTCCCCACTGCACCTTCAGAGAGAAGGTACTAGAGCACACATCTGCCCAGACTCCATCACCAGCAGCTTTAAGAATATCTCATATTGTGGATAAACTCAAATTAACAAAAGAGGTGAAATTACACTGGAATAAGGAAACTGCCCTAATCCCTGGTTCAACACTCATTCCATATTCAGATAGCTTTACCTGCAATCTTCTTGTGTGCATTAAGCTACATCAAACAAAGGCTACGACACTTCTAAATTAGGAGGGTCACCTTGATAAGGCAATATCATTTATTAGTTTCTCATTTTTTGTCAATCAGTTAAGTTTAAGACACTCAAATTCAAAACAACCTTTCCACTCAAGAATTAAACGCACCTCAGTTAAAACAGTTTCAATTAAAACCTTTTTTTCCTGATTCATTTTCTGGAGAACAAGCCATAGCTGCCATGATATTCTTCTTGGCTGTTGCAAAAGACAGGCTGAGCGAGACCCAAGAAGACTAAAATATTCTCTTGCCCTTAGCTATGTTGTTCTCCATCTGCACTGCAAGAAGGATGGTGAAGGTAGCCTGGACAATGACAGTGCAAGCTGTCACATCACGGTTTTACCTCATTCTCATCTACACATTATTTAAAAGATGATATTTCCATTTGCTGTGCTGCCAATTTAACCTCATGGCACTTAAGTACGGGGGAAGCTCTACACTAAAGAGCATTATACACATTAGGATTTATAAATCCTCTGAATTGTTGATGGTGACTCCAAAGAGGTTTAAAAAAAAATCTCTGGCAAAATGTATTTAACTGGAACCTGACAGTGCTCTTAAAGCCCACAAAACTTCCCTCACTTACTTTAAAGGATCAATTTTTGGCCCTCAGAGCCTGAAAAGAAAATATGTAGGTCTTTCTGTTTTCCTAAACTTTATTTCCTTTGACATCTAAAAGCACAATGTTTGCAACAAAACGCTGGCAACATATTTTGCCATACACAGCAGGTATGCAGCTATAGCCTAGATGCAGTGGCTCAGAGGTAGGTGGAAGTAACACTAACACATCTCACCAGCTGAGCCACAAAACTGGTGCGCTGCAAAAAAAAAGGAGTTAGTTCCTTATAATCACAAGGGATCATTTTCTGCCTGAAACTTTGAGAACCAGGTAAAACTGACACAAAACTTTCTTTGGTTCCTTTATGCAATGATTATACACATTTTCCAAATATATTTGTATCCGTTTTTATGTGGATTAAGGTATCTGAATGAAGATAATGTATTTGCTTTAGCCCATTTTAATACTATGCTATTCCAAAATAGCCTCGGGCAGGGAGGGATGCTGAATGGGAGTGAGGTCAGTGGAGAACTGCTTCCTTTCCACTTTGCTAATCACATCACTCTCACTTTGTGACTGTTTTTCTGATGTGACAGCTTGGGGCCAAAACAACTGGGAGAAAGCTGTGCTCCACTACCACATCCAGAAAGGTGCAAACCAGTTAACAACCAGTGGGAAACTTACTTGATAACTAACAAAACATGATGCACAGCTAAACAGATTGCTATTTTCCCTCCCTCCATTGTCCCCAAGCCCACACTGGCCTGACACTGTTGTCACTGCACCCACTGCAGGCAGCTGTATTTCTCAGACAGGTTGTAATGGCACACAATGAGACTTCAGGGAGGCCTCTGAAGGGTTTGGAAATTCATACAATTGTCAGCAATGGATTTATCATCACAGTTAACCAGGCTTCTAAAACCACCGATAGTGAAGTGGGGAGAAGGCAGGCAATAAAGCAGCCCAGCATAACCTGCAGTTTTCCAAGCACAGGTGTGCTTGAGTAAACATGAGCAGGAAGAAATTTCTGATAAATTCACTAATAAATTAGGTGCAATGCTGCTAAAGGCATTGCCTGAGAGCTATGAGAGTGTTAAAGGTAGAGCTCATATTGCAGGGTGTTTTGATATCCTGCACTCTAATTACAAGTGAGGGCAGAGGTGATTTATCAAGAAACCACTCCCTTTCCAGATACGGGGCTACAAAAACAAGGGTAGTTATAAGAAGTACTTTCAGGTACTATGACAGCAAACTTGGCAGTGGTAGGTTAATGGTTGGACTTGATTATCTTAAAGGTCTTTTCCAACAAAAACGATTCTATGAAGAAGGATAATAACAGTAATAACAGTTCATTAATATACTGCTGTGCAGGGCAAGCATATCAGAGCACTTTGCAAATACCCATTAACTTTTTACGACACTCTGGGAGGAAATCAATTAGCCAGTATTAACCAGGTATGAGAAGCAGAGGAAATGGAGGAGCCAGAGAATCCCCGAATCCTGATGTCACTTTAAAACTCAGCTGCACAGTCATCCTGCAGCCCCAGACAGCCAGGGGAACTCAGACCGAGCAGTGTGTCTAGGGACACACATGGCATGGAGCCTTCATGGGGAAAAGATCATACACATGGTTTCCCTGAGACCGGTAACAGGTCAAATCCTTCTTAGCCACTTACTTCATCAAGAAAGAGCTGTGCAAAGGTTTGGTATTCCTCACTGCTTGTATTGCTAAAGCCTGGAGAGTATTTCACATTTGTTATCTGCACCGTGCCACTCAGTTTCTGGATAGCTGCAAAGAAAAAGACAATTTAAATACAAGTGTGTGACAGTCACTGGCCTGCCTGGCCACATGAGGCATGCATCAGCTCATCTCAGGTGAGGGCCAGACCTTTGAAATGTAGCCCAGACTCCAAATACCTAAACACAGGCATCCAGTACCATAGTCTGCTGCAAAGCTTTGCAGCACCAAGGTCCTTTATCCTCCAACCTCAGAGGAAGGCTAGACACCTGCCTAGGATTTAGGCACTTACATTTTAGATGGCTTTTGTAAGATCAGGTGAACGCCAGGAGGATGTATACTTCCTCCCTGAAGTTGTATCTGCTGAATCACCTTAAGGCAGTCTCGAATGTTTTAGGTTATTTATCGATATCACTGATTTTGACATTGTTACTGCAGATACTGAAGGTGATCACAAGCAAGAGAGAAAGGGCTTCTCCGGACAAGATTCATACCCTTAGCATCCTTTTAGTGGCTACCCAGCCAAGCTGATTGCCATAATCCAATACCATGACCATTGACAGCAAATCTTCACACAGATCATCACTTCTAGCACACCAAAATCTAATGTTTCCATGCTTTATATGAATGGCATAGTCTTCATCAAAGCCTTCAAGAACTCCATCGTCTGGATAAGGACTCATTTTAAAACGGTTTCTGAATCAAGCTGCCAGTCTTTACTTTCTGGTGTACCAGCTTGTTTTCCTCCCTACACACATCAGGTCTGACTTCAGCAGTATATAGGGCACCAGGTTCCAGCCCTGAAACTGTCAGACTCCTGTACCAAGTCTCAGCCTCACATATTAGCTGCTTTTTTTCTGAAGCAGCAAGAACTGAAAAGTGGGGCTCTGCATAAACTCTGTGGACCACGTTACATCAAAGTTGGTTCTAGTCACATTGGGGTCAAATAGTCCTTTGAACTGGGACAGGTACTAGAGCAAAAGAAACAGTCATCAAGCAAATCTTTGCAGGGGAGAGGAGAAAGTCGTGCCTGCTTGAAGCAAACCACTGAGGAAGGCTTCCTTATCCCAGCATACTTTTGATCTCAAAGGAATCCTTACCACCAGCAGTCAGATCAAAGGATTTTAGCTATGGCTTGTCCTGTCATATGAACATTGGTATTTAGAAGATAAACCACATTCAGTTATCTGGTGGTGAGAGGGGAAAACATTCTGAACAATTCTTGAATGAAAAAATACATAATCAGTATTTAAAAGATGTGATGAACTATGAGTTGGCTGAGGTTGACACTCCAGGTCAGAGATGTTACCACAAGGAGGAGCTATATATTACAAATCTCCAAACGTTTTTTTGCCGTCTGAATTTCCTGCCCTGGGCTAGTGGGATGCCACTACGGTGGCTCTTCCTTCTGTTTCCCAGGCATAACCCCTTCACAACCTTCTTTCCCAGCAAAAACACTTCGCTTAGGATTTGATTCATCAGAAAAGGAACAGAAAAATAAAACAAGTTTTTCAACTAAAATTGTTGGTGTAGAATTCTTAAAATTGTTTTTCTACTGGAAGAAAACAAGGTTTGGGGTTTTTTTGTCAGTTAAAATTAGCTATTTTGATTTTTTTAATGAACATTTTTCGTTTCCATTTAAAAAAAAAATAATAATAATAAAGCAAAACCAACCATGTCTTCTCCTCTTTCCTACATTGAAAGAGGCAGGGGGAACAAAAAGCAAAGCTGTAAATGGAGCTTTTTAATTCAGGTCAACACGTTGTTTGGTCAAAAATAATTGGTTTCCTTCATTTAGCCCCCGAGGTCTCAAATCAGTTATTTGCCCAGCTCTGTTCCCAGGTCTCAGCCATGCCGGGCAGCTCATTTTCCTTCCCAGGTGTCTAAGGTAACTCTATAAGGTAACTGCTGCTGCAGTGCCCAGCTGGCAGAGCATGCAGGAGAAACCAAGGTGTATGGCAAAAGGACAAGCAGCATATGTTTTGATGAGTCACTCTCAGTGCACTGTACAATTTGCTTTGTCTTCTTTGCAATGAAAAAAATGTAACATTGATAAAACTAACTGCCAAGTTACCAGAAAGATAAATTATTTTGATGTGCTGATTGGAGGGGAGAAGAAGAAAGAGAAAAAGAAAGGAAAGGAAAGGAAAGGAAAGGAAAGGAAAGGAAAGGAAGAAAGGAAGAAAGGAAGAAAGGAAGAAAGGAAGAAAGGAAGAAAGGAAGAAAGGAAGAAAGGAAGAAAGGAAGAAAGGAAGAAAGGAAGAAAGGAAGAAAGGAAGAAAGGAAGAAAGGAAGAAAGGAAGAAAGGAAGAAAGGAAGAAAGGAAGAAAGGAAGAAAGGAAGAAAGGAAGAAAGGAAGAAAGGAAGAAAGGAAGAAAGGAAGAAAGGAAGAAAGGAAGAAAGGAAGAAAGGAAGAAAGGAAGAAAGGAAGAAAGGAAGAAAGGAAGAAAGGAAGAAAGGAAGAAAGGAAGAAAGGAAGAAAGGAAGAAAGGAAGAAAGGAAGAAAGGAAGAAAGGAAGAAAGGAAGAAAGGAAGAAAGGAAGAAAGGAAGAAAGGAAGAAAGGAAGAAAGGAAGAAAGGAAGAAAGGAAGAAAGGAAGAAAGGAAGAAAGGAAGAAAGGAAGAAAGGAAGAAAGGAAGAAAGGAAGAAAGGAAGAAAGGAAGAAAGGAAGAAAGGAAGAAAGGAAGAAAGGAAGAAAGGAAGAAAGGAAGAAAGGAAGAAAGGAAGAAAGGAAGAAAGGAAGAAAGGAAGAAAGGAAGAAAGGAAGAAAGGAAGAAAGGAAGAAAGGAAGAAAGGAAGAAAGGAAGAAAGGAAGAAAGGAAGAAAGGAAGAAAGGAAGAAAGGAAGAAAGGAAGAAAGGAAGAAAGGAAGAAAGGAAGAAAGGAAGAAAGGAAGAAAGGAAGAAAGGAAGAAAGGAAGAAAGGAAGAAAGGAAGAAAGGAAGAAAGGAAGAAAGGAAGAAAGGAAGAAAGGAAGAAAGGAAGAAAGGAAGAAAGGAAGAAAGGAAGAAAGGAAGAAAGGAAGAAAGGAAGAAAGGAAGAAAGGAAGAAAGGAAGAAAGGAAGAAAGGAAGAAAGGAAGAAAGGAAGAAAGGAAGAAAGGAAGAAAGGAAGAAAGGAAGAAAGGAAGAAAGGAAGAAAGGAAGAAAGGAAGAAAGGAAGAAAGGAAGAAAGGAAGAAAGGAAGAAAGGAAGAAAGGAAGAAAGGAAGAAAGGAAGAAAGGAAGAAAGGAAGAAAGGAAGAAAGGAAGAAAGGAAGAAAGGAAGAAAGGAAGAAAGGAAGAAAGGAAGAAAGGAAGAAAGGAAGAAAGGAAGAAAGGAAGAAAGGAAGAAAGGAAGAAAGGAAGAAAGGAAGAAAGGAAGAAAGGAAGAAAGGAAGAAAGGAAGAAAGGAAGAAAGGAAGAAAGGAAGAAAGGAAGAAAGGAAGAAAGGAAGAAAGGAAGAAAGGAAGAAAGGAAGAAAGGAAGAAAGGAAGAAAGGAAGAAAGGAAGAAAGGAAGAAAGGAAGAAAGGAAGAAAGGAAGAAAGGAAGAAAGGAAGAAAGGAAGAAAGGAAGAAAGGAAGAAAGGAAGAAAGGAAGAAAGGAAGAAAGGAAGAAAGGAAGAAAGGAAGAAAGGAAGAAAGGAAGAAAGGAAGAAAGGAAGAAAGGAAGAAAGGAAGAAAGGAAGAAAGGAAGAAAGGAAGAAAGGAAGAAAGGAAGAAAGGAAGAAAGGAAGAAAGGAAGAAAGGAAGAAAGGAAGAAAGGAAGAAAGGAAGAAAGGAAGAAAGGAAGAAAGGAAGAAAGGAAGAAAGGAAGAAAGGAAGAAAGGAAGAAAGGAAGAAAGGAAGAAAGGAAGAAAGGAAGAAAGGAAGAAAGGAAGAAAGGAAGAAAGGAAGAAAGGAAGAAAGGAAGAAAGGAAGAAAGGAAGAAAGGAAGAAAGGAAGAAAGGAAGAAAGGAAGAAAGGAAGAAAGGAAGAAAGGAAGAAAGGAAGAAAGGAAGAAAGGAAGAAAGGAAGAAAGGAAGAAAGGAAGAAAGGAAGAAAGGAAGAAAGGAAGAAAGGAAGAAAGGAAGAAAGGAAGAAAGGAAGAAAGGAAGAAAGGAAGAAAGGAAGAAAGGAAGAAAGGAAGAAAGGAAGAAAGGAAGAAAGGAAGAAAGGAAGAAAGGAAGAAAGGAAGAAAGGAAGAAAGGAAGAAAGGAAGAAAGGAAGAAAGGAAGAAAGGAAGAAAGGAAGAAAGGAAGAAAGGAAGAAAGGAAGAAAGGAAGAAAGGAAGAAAGGAAGAAAGGAAGAAAGGAAGAAAGGAAGAAAGGAAGAAAGGAAGAAAGGAAGAAAGGAAGAAAGGAAGAAAGGAAGAAAGGAAGAAAGGAAGAAAGGAAGAAAGGAAGAAAGGAAGAAAGGAAGAAAGGAAGAAAGGAAGAAAGGAAGAAAGGAAGAAAGGAAGAAAGGAAGAAAGGAAGAAAGGAAGAAAGGAAGAAAGGAAGAAAGGAAGAAAGGAAGAAAGGAAGAAAGGAAGAAAGGAAGAAAGGAAGAAAGGAAGAAAGGAAGAAAGGAAGAAAGGAAGAAAGGAAGAAAGGAAGAAAGGAAGAAAGGAAGAAAGGAAGAAAGGAAGAAAGGAAGAAAGGAAGAAAGGAAGAAAGGAAGAAAGGAAGAAAGGAAGAAAGGAAGAAAGGAAGAAAGGAAGAAAGGAAGAAAGGAAGAAAGGAAGAAAGGAAGAAAGGAAGAAAGGAAGAAAGGAAGAAAGGAAGAAAGGAAGAAAGGAAGAAAGGAAGAAAGGAAGAAAGGAAGAAAGGAAGAAAGGAAGAAAGGAAGAAAGGAAGAAAGGAAGAAAGGAAGAAAGGAAGAAAGGAAGAAAGGAAGAAAGGAAGAAAGGAAGAAAGGAAGAAAGGAAGAAAGGAAGAAAGGAAGAAAGGAAGAAAGGAAGAAAGGAAGAAAGGAAGAAAGGAAGAAAGGAAGAAAGGAAGAAAGGAAGAAAGGAAGAAAGGAAGAAAGGAAGAAAGGAAGAAAGGAAGAAAGGAAGAAAGGAAGAAAGGAAGAAAGGAAGAAAGGAAGAAAGGAAGAAAGGAAGAAAGGAAGAAAG